TGGTAGATTTATAAATGTGCAATGTGGATTCTGAAGAGATAAAGTGTTTGGCCCGACATAGCGAACCAACTTTATTAGCAGCAGACCTAATCATTGATTCAATATAATCGCTCCATTTATGTCATTAGAAAACATGAGATTAAGTTGCTCTCCAAGAGGTTAGCATCAACCATATTGATGGAGAGTAAAAATGGTTCTCTATGATGATTAAAAGATAGCATTTTGATTTTGGAGGTGTTAAAATTCACAAGTCATTTCTTACTCTAGTTAACAACTGATTTGATATCATTTTCGAGAGCAGCTGCCAGTTTTACTTTATCGGACCTATCGGACTTATTACTAAGACAAGAGTAAGTAGTTGTGCCATCAGTATAGATACCTAGTTTAGAACTAATGACATCGTGTGTTTATATATATATATAAAAAGAATACCCGCTCGGCCCGGTGGCTAGGATCAAAGTGTAGTATCTGCGCTTTGTGAGCTGCCGGGTCGGGTGTCTGTCGAACTCTCTGCTTGCAGAGGGGAACCCGGACGAGGCTCTGCCGAAGGGTAGGGTTTCGTTCGGGGAGGTTGACGGAACTAGCCCGCTTGGACGGGTTTAGATGGGTTTTATTTTTGGCTGGGCCTACGGGCTCAGACATACCCACATTAAAAAGGCCTTGTGCCACATTCAATTCCTGTGGGTGAATTGATAAATACCATATATATATATATATATATGAGAGAGAGAGAGAGAGAGATAATAATATATATTTTTTATATATCAAGAACAATATTGGCAAAATGTATGACAAAGTGTAAAACGTTTAGTTGTGACGCGTTTGGTCCTTTAGTAATGCCAACATAACAGTTTAAGTCTGATGAAGTCCTGTAGAAACAAATGCGCCACAAGCAAACTTTTTCCACTTTGTTATTGTTATATTACATGCTAATAGGAACATACACTTGAAAAACAAGGTGGATAAAATAAGTAAATGTTTATTGTAAAAGCAATAAAATAAGAATAACGGTAACAGTTATGCACAAGTCAGTCCAGTAGTGAGTGTTACCATTGGAAGGTCGGTAATTCTCGCGTATGTCTGAGTCGTACTCAACAGATTCCAGCAAGTATATTTACTAACCTCCCCACTTGGTCAGATGTGGCACAAGGCCGAATGCTCAGCGAAAAAATTCCCGTAAATCCCGCATAAAAGGGTTCGGGTCTGTCTATCTTCCTGGACGAGGCTATGCTGAAAGGCAGAGACTCGTTCGGGTTCCTCTCTGTCCGAAGGCAGAGAGTTCGACAGTACAGCTGGAACAGATCCCAGCTAGTCAATATTTACTAGCCGCCACCCCCACAAGGGTAGATGTGGCATAAGGCCGAGTTTAACGTTGGTCTTCCGAGCCTGTAGGCTCGGCCAAAAAATAACCCGCATAAACGAGATCGGGTTGGTCAACCTCCTCGAACGAGACTGCCCTTCAGCAGAGCCTCGTCCGGGTTCCTCTCTGCCCGAAGGCACAGAATTCGACAGCACAGCTGGAACAGATTCCAGCTAGTATATTTAGCTACCCGCCACGAGGGTTGCATGTGGCACAAGGCCGGTTTAACGTGGGTTCTCCGAGCCCGTAGACTCAGGCAAAAATATTTTGAACTCGTATAAACGGGTTCAGGGGTAGTCTACCTCCCCGAATGAGACTCTGCCCGAAGGCAGAGAGTTCGACTGTCTAGTTGGAACAGGTCGCAGCTAGTCTCTGTAGTCCGCTGACTTACAGATACTTATAGGCAGTTACTACCTATAGTGTAGTCACTCACGGGGGTGACAAGTTATTCCATTACATCAGTTATATATATATATATATATATATATATATGTGTGTGTGTGTGTGTGTGTGTGTGTGTGTGTGTGTGTGTGTGTGTGTGTGTGTGTGCGCGCGTTAATTCGAAAAGGACTTGTTCTCCATAATTTATGAAATTAAATACGTTAACATACACAACAGCCACGAGTTTAAAAGAAAAAATAAACATTACCAAGATACATCGACAAAATAAAAACTGGCAATCACACTATCTCTACAATGTGGTCGACTATCATCACAAAGCCATTCGTAAGAAAGTCTACAAAGTATACAAGAAGGCCCCCTAAAGAATGGGAAAATGATATCAACAACGAGACACGGACAACATTCATAAAAATTAAAGATCGATGATAGAGTGCACAAACTCCATAAACAAGAAAGCTTTTATTACCTTTAAGGAACATAGGAGTAATTTCCCTAACAATCCACAGTTCCGTTTGCTTAACCCCTCCAAGAACAACACAGGTAGAATCAACAAAGCCATACTTGAACGAGCATGTAATTACACCAGGAATGCAACAGGCGTCAATCAGTAGAGAAATACCAAAGATGCTATAAGTTGGTTCACTAATATCAAATATAAAAATGAGTGCACCTTTATGCAATTCGACATAACCAACTTTTACACGTCAATCACTGAAAACCTACTAATTTCTGCTATTGAACTGGTTAAGAACTATTGCACCATCATGGATGAGGATATCAGAATAATTTTACAAGCCCAAAAGCCTATTCTATACCATGACGGTTCTTTTTGGACCAATAAAGACAATCCCAACTTCTCTATAACGATGGGCCCGTATACCCCACAGAAACATGTGAACTAGTCGGCATGGAGGCTTAAATATAATTTTCGATACTGAGAACACCGGGCTGTACCGGGACGACGGTGTGATCCCACTACGCAACTCCAAACCAAAAAAAAAAAAAAAATGAAGGCTTAGAAAACAGCTAATACATTTTTTTTTTAAAGATCATGGACTTAACATTACCATTGTCATCAGCGCCAAGGTGATTTCCCAGACACCACGTTCGACTTATTTCGGGGAGTGTTCATGCCTTATAATAAGGAAGTTTACAATCATGCATATATTGGTAAGGAATCCAACGATCCACGGTGTATACTCAACAATCTCCACAAATCTGTACGATATAGACTCACCACCAACTTCAGCAATAAACACATCTTTGATACATACATACAAAACCAAATATGTAGATGCATTACATAAAAGAAAACACAACATCGGCCTAAAGTACATTCTCAACACTACTATCAATAACAATAGTAAATCTATGAATAGAAATGCAGAATTATTTGGTTTAACCCACCCTTCAATAGTAACCTTAGGACTAACATAGGTAGATCTTTTATCAGGTTAGTACACAAACATTTCAGACATATTCCCTTTCTACCCCCATCCCCCCTAAAAAAACAACTCTTCAACAAGAGCAACGTTAAAGTTAGCTACGGCTGCACCAAAAACCTTGAACAATATTTAGTCCTGTATAATAATGTAAACCTTAACAAATACTTAAATAACACTATTAGAATTGGTAGCCCTGATGATCAGGCATGCAATTGTCGCAACCGTGATCTTTACCCCATGAGCGGTAAATGCACGTATAAAGGAATTATATATAAGGCTAGCATCACGCACAATGACCAGACCAAATTTTATTTCGGATCCACCGCTATCAATTGGAAAAAGCGTTTTTACCATCACAAAATGACACTCAACAACAAAAATATGCAAACGCCACAGCACAGTTCTTCTCGAGTATTAAAACAAATGACCACACACCTAATGTAAAATGGGAATTCGTAATACAAACCAAATCTTTTTTCCGGTAAGGGAGGGGGACGATGTGATTTATGTCTATTAGAGAAAAGATTTATCCTCAAATATATTAACTTAGGCCTATTTAATAAGCGGCCGAGCTAATGATCGCATGTAGGCATAAAAGACGGTATATCTTAAAGTATTGGAAACCTGACTGATTCTAATCCCTCTTCTCTACACTCTCATTAGGATATAAGTTGTATAACCCACTCTAATCTGTTTATGTTATTATACTAATCTATAACAACGACCCTAGCATTTTCTCCTCACATTTCTTATATTTTCCTATTTTCTCACATATTTTTTCACATTTCCATATATTATATTTACTTTCCTTACGCTCATCTTCATTTCTACACGTTTTTTCGATTTCATTTCTTTTCTTATCGTCATTATTTTTTTTATTTTCATTCATTTTTTTTACCTCCCTTTAATCCTTAACGTTATACTGACTACACGAAAACAGCGTCTTCAATGTTAAATTAAAAATTTTTAATCACAGTTTTTCCTTATACTTTTAAAAAATGTAACTCACCAGCATCGCATTTAACACACTTCTGTGCAATTTTATTTTTGCGCTACGTAGCAGTGATACTCCCATAAACCACTTTTAACAATATACATCTTGTGCCCGACGAGCGAAACTTTAGTAGTACACCAAAACGTAGGTACACGTATATGTACTAATTAACATATATCTTTGCTCTGTATAACCACATCGAGCACTATTATGTTTATACCTCATGTATAAATTTGACGATTATTTATTTGTTTGCCCCCCGCATACATACACACCATATATATATATATATATATATATATATATATATATATATATATATATATATATATATATATATATACACTTCAAAAAGAAAAAAAAAAATCGAAACATGCATTTTTGAATTTCCTGTTTTTAAACTTGAAACCCACCTTAAAAGAAACATTTCATTTCATTATCTGCGCGTACAAAAGAAAGCGATAAGTTTGTCTGCTTTTGTGTTAGAGAGTATTTCTTATTTTTGTACCATATTTATTTTTTTATTATTTCGCATTCCTTGTTGCATAAACTAAATAAAATGTTTTAATTTTTGGAACGAGTTTCATAATTTTTTTCTATACAAGAGGAACAGTATTATAAATATATATTCTTTCTATAACTAAAAGTAAATAACTGCATAAAAAAAACTTTTAGGTTCCATTGATGACGCAGTTACTGATAGCGAAGTAATGAAAGAGTGAAACACATTAATATTATTAATCAAGGAATTTGCGTATATGCCAATGCACCATTACATACGTCATAAGGACATTATAAAATGGTCGATAAGAAACATATCTATCTAATTCAGTTCATATCTCTCTCTCTTAGTCTGTTCATTAAGAAAGTGTACAGGGAAATACTAGTATATATCTCACTCTTATTTTTGTCATTACAATGTTTAAGTAATCCATTCTTCCGTCTTCCACATGTGTATTATCCATACAGAAGATAGATACAGTAAATTCACGTTTTAATTTTCTGAGATGAAAGAAGGAACATATCAAATTTTATGAAATTAAAATAACAGACAAGGAAAAGCATTGGAAAATTATAAGTTTGTAAGAGTCTTTTCACATACTATACTCAGATAACCTAATGAACACACTAAGCATATTCATTATTAGCTTGTTGAAACATTACCCAGAAAAAAAAAACAGACGATAAACAAGCGAGGTTACCAGTAAAGCGCAGATGTCAGGACGCATGAACCTAAAAAAAAAAAAAAAATCAAAAAGCAACCCACCCCCACCCAACAACAACAACGCATGAGATATGATACACATGCTCTCTCTCAAAACAAGATCTGATCACGTTCTAGAATATAAGACACCTGAGTAAGGCCGGAGGGTACACAACCGAAAAGTTATGGCAAAAAATACCAAAAACGAGGAAAGTAATCCCAACACATCACAATGTTACTTTTTGCAAAGTTTGAGAGTTATTTGGAGTATTGAACTCATTCGTTTCCTTGCTTTAGTTGTTATCATTATATATATGTATTGTTTAAAATAATAAAAATATATTTCAATATTATTTACTGAATACCTCATATGCTTGAGGAAAACCAGAGAACAAACCATTCAAATGGTTGCATTTAAATGGTTGCATTCAAATGGTTGCATTCAAACAGCAAAAAAAAAAAAAAAAAAAAAAGATGCCAGTCAACTCAATCATACAAATAATAAGAACACCTTATCTCAGAACTGCAAAAACAAAATAGTTCTACTTATCTGCGGGACCGGACAGGCAGCTTCAGTTATCCGCCGTAATCAGAAGTATCTTTGTCTGATTTACCCTAAGAATGGCGTTTCTATTAACTGATATGTACATAACTCTGTCCATGGTTTCTGCTATCATTTCTAACTTAGATCGCCACAAGACTTTCGGATTCTATGGCACCCATGCAATTTTCCTATCAAAATGTGTTCCTGAAATGGTTCCTGTTTTCTCCAAACTCGGCAATAAATGCCACGCTTATTCTTGACTTCCCAGCTTGTTAGAAATCCTCCTCTGTAGTTCCTGTCTTTAATAAATCTGGTGAACCTTCTGAACCCTTGAATTATCTCCCCATTGGCAAAGTACTAGAGGCTCTAATCAACAACGAATTGGTTAAGCATCTCACTTCACACTCCCTTCTTTAGAATAAACAATATGGCTTTCGTTTTTCCAGCGCTACCGCCGATGTGTTAATGGCTATTACGGAATTTGTTTCTCATGCTTTAGATAAGAGAAACGAGTTTCGGTCTGTTATTCTAAATATCTCGAATGTGTTCAACAGAATTTGACATGATGGCCTCTACCGCAAGTTCAAGGGCTAGGGTGTCACTGGACATATATTTTACTTAATCCAATCGTTCCTAAGAAACCGTGTAATGAAGGTCGTGTTGAATGGACGTGTTTCTAGTAAATTTCACATTAATGCGAGAGTCCCCCAGGGCTCTATCCTTAGATTTCGTTATATTCACTTACACGCAGATACCCTTTTGAAAGGTCTGAAATCACCTATTCTCCCCCAGTTGTGGGTTAATAAGTAAGATTTGTATCATTAAAACTATAATTATCTAAAAAATAAAATTGTGCACAAAATATTTAGATTTCAGCATTAAATAACCGATAGAGGTGGATATGCCATTAAACAAAAACAACCAACAATCAGATATTATCAATTATTGTTTTTCGTCTTTAACTCAGCCCATAATATAAATTAGACTTTTTCGTAAGTATGTTTGTATAGGAAATCGGTGTAGTTCATAATCTTGTCAATAGCTAAATTCTTAATGCTTCGCTAGGGCCATCAAGGGTGTTTTTATCGTGACACCATCACTAAATGGATTGCCAACCAAGGCTCAGAGAGACTCCATTCGCCCTCATCTAAGAAAGACTATCCCGCGCCAGATTCCAACCTGGTATTTAAATGCCTGTTTGAAATTCTTGAACTCTATGGCATACCAGTAGAAATTATTGAAGCAATCAAAGTATTGTATACCAACACACAGGCCACTGTCCTGACCCCAGATGATGAAACAGTACCTTTCGATATTCTGGCTGGCATTCTCCAAGGTGACACACTAGCACCTTTCCTTTTCATCATTGTAATAGACTACATCATGCGTATATCAGTGGACACAATCAAAGAAAATGGACTGCTGTATCAGCCTAGAAGAAGCTCACGTCATCCTGCACTCTACATCACCGATGCTGATTTTGCTGATGACATTGCACTGTTGTCTGACAACCTCATTAGTGCCCAAGCACTCCTTTCTTCTTTTTGAATCAGCAGCTAACTGTGCAGGTCTTCACCTAAATGAAACCAAAACTGAGTGTATGCCAATTAACATTCGCAACAATCATGAGATCAAAACACTCTCAGACAACATCCTCAAATGTGTTGAAGACTACAAGTATCTATGATCACACATCAAAAACTCTGAGAAAGATTTTAACATTAGAAAAGGCATGGCATGGACTGCTTGTAACAAAATGGATAAGATCTGGAAATCCAATCTTGCTCGTCAATTCAAAATCCAACTTTTCCGCGTACTTATTGAGCCAATCTTACTCTATGGCTCTGAAACTTGGACTCTCAGCAAAACAACAGCGCCGTTTAGATGGATGTTATACACGTCTTTTAAGAAGAGTGCTTAATCTCTCATGGCGAAACCGCCCAACTCTAGAAATGATATATGGAGACTTGCCGAGAGTATCAACCTTAGTTTGCAAAAGACGTGTCCAGTTCGTCGGGCATTGTGCACGTGCCACAGATGAACTTGTGTCATCATTTGTACTCTGGAGGCACCCATAATCTGACAATCGATCACGCAAGTTAACCTTTCCAGATAGGATAAAACGAGACACATTGATCCCTAAGGAAGATCTTTTAGGAGCTATGACGGATAGGGAATACTGGAGAAGTGTAGTGAGTTCAATCTCGGCTGAGGCCGCAGGATAGGAATGAATAGGAAAAACGGTATATATCAGATTCGGCATTATCCGTGGTTTCAGGTATCTAATTGGTAGCGTGTTTGGACTTATCTCTCGCGAATACTGCCAAATAATGCTCGAGGAAGACAGGAAAGTACAGTGGACAAAATGACTGATTGATCGATTAATTTGTGGGTTATTTAAAGCCGAAATATATTTTGGATTGTAAGAATAATTTCTTTTGCGACTGGATTTTGCATTAACAATTTCTTGCGAATAACAATTATTGTTCTAGATACAATTCATGCCTTTCCTAATGGCATTTTCATGTAAGTAGAATGGACGAATAATCACAACCAAAACAACAACAATAAATATATCAGTCCTTATATATTATTGTGTGAACAGCATTTCACCCCAGATGAACTGAAACATTATACTAAAACAAAAAGAAAACAAAATAATGTGCGAGTCTGTATAATTTATACCTTGTTAAATACACTTTAAATTAGAACGTAGCGATTCTTGGCGCCATATAATATTATTCGTTTCCAGATAATGAACCAGCATTTTGAATATTGGTTTTCGAGAGAGATATGTCTTCTAAACTTAGATTGGTCAAATAGTCTTCCTATCCACTTAGTAAATTTGTATCCTTGTAAAATCTGCATTCACTATTTCGTACCTATGCTTTCATATTTCGTGCAATAAATAAATAAATAAAATAAGCTACCAACCAAGATTTCAAGGTTTTTTGTTTCCCAAGTATTTTCCCTAATGCACTCTGCAAAATGTCACATACGCCACAACTGTTATATACAATATATTTACTGGTCGGTGATGGGGAAATTCATCGAACAAAGAATAAGCTTTATTGAAAAACACTTCAATCTTGAAAGGATTGAACAAATACAGAAATGTAAAATAAATAAAAACAGTTGTACAAAATAGTAAGCGAAGAAACAATCCTTGAAGAGGCAAATTAACAAATACGTATTGTTAAGGTAGATTTAAAAGAAACGCTTTAAAAAATGAATAGATAAATAAAATGGCCGTCGAGAACAAAAAGTAAAAATTTAAAAACAAACCTGTGATTCAAAAGCAATTTTTTCGCAAATTTAAATTGTTGTATAAATTGCACGCACAGCTTTTCTGTCATTGCCCATTAGTCAAGAAAAGAATAAATTCTAAGAGCTTTTCTTGAAGTGAGAATTGCTTGGTCTTATGATTAGCGCGTTTCGCCAGGATCATGATGGATGTCTATACCACTTAGACGAGGAAGCCATTGACAAACAAGTTAAGTTCTTATCTCTAATCTTAAACCCTCCGCTATACTAAACAACAGTTTTTGTTTAAAAGTAGGAGTTAAGATATTTTAAACATTCAGGGGGCGTTAGGATGACAAGAGTTTTGTGATCCATTTAATAATGAAAGCTTCCGTAATCGAAGTGCTTAAAGCGATATCTGTGAAGTAAATATCGAAAGCTACATGCATATTTTCGATTTTATGCTGTTTACTGTATCAGTTGATGAGTGTATTTAAGTAATGTGTTGTGATAAAAAGTAACAATAATAAAGTGGAATAAAAGTGGTAATAAAGCTATGACAGATTTTTTTATCTTTCACATATTTATACGAGTATCTTCATCTTGTTTTTTGGCTTTTTATCACAATGCTTTTTGTTTCGGTACACATCTCCTCTGAAAATAATATGAAGTAGCTAAAACTGGTTTTCATTTATATGGTACTCGGTGTAAATATATGCTTCTCCGTTAACTATCAAGAGGGCTTGTAGAATTTTAAATTCATAGAGCATATTGAAGGCAAGAAAGGTAGAGCGAAACCTACCTAACTAATTAATGTAAATAGCGGGCGGAACAGAAACTAAAAGAGATTGTAAAGGAGC